ACACACACACACACATATATATATATATATATATATATACACACAGGGTGCGATTTGTGAAAAAAGCAGAGGGGGGATGATTTTGAAAACTTTTTTTTTCAGAGCAAGGCTTTAAAGTACAATGTTAGTGTAATCTATTAACAAAGCACATCATAAACCCGTATAAAATATAATTTATACATTGTAAGCGCGGCTTAAGGGCCCAAACGTGTCCAAATACTTTTTAGGGCTACTGCCTCAGGATGCGGAGTTTCTTAGTGTTCCGCGTTTTGATTTCTCCTGGAGAGGATGCGTGAGCCTCGCCTCAGCAGCGCAACCTTATTCCCTCGATAGATGCATTATATAGGCTACAGTAGCTATATGCACTATTCACCACTTATTCCAAATGTAATAAAATCAAAATAATACTTGCGTTTTGGTGTTTACATAGTTATTTTTGGTTACTGATGTTTTAATCTGTCTGGCGTTAATGAAGTGTTAATGTCGAGCCCTGGGCCCGCATCTCAAAGATTCGAAGAATCCTCTCTGAGAGCTCCTAATTTAGCTTAAAAATGTCTAACTAGGAGTCTTAGTTTAAAAGTGATTCAGGACCAATCTGAGAGCAACTCTGAGCGAGGAAAAGACAAAAACTTTTATCTTAGTGAGGAGGCGAGCCTGACCCCGTTGCCAACTATGACAAAGTCTTTTGAAGAATGTGATTGGCTGGTTGTCTAAGAAGGTAATAAAAGAGCACTTTTAAGAGTAGGGTCTATTATAAGCCTTCACTTTGAAATAACTGGCGTAATTTTTCCCGTTTTACTGTACTTGTGACAGACCCAAATCATCACTGCTGCATAGTTGTATTTTTCCAGTTGCCAAATATGTTTATGTAGTTAATATAGTGATTTACTTCCATTTATGGTGCTATGGCATTTCTGCGCGGTGTTGGAGATGTTAGCGTGTCTCTAATAAGATTAGTCACAAACATGATCCTTGCACCATCTAATGTGTAGCGTCTTGTTAACTCAATGTCATGCATTGTGTGCAACACATTTCTTCTTATGTGGAAAAGAATGTGTTTTTTGAACCTTAACGCATAAACACATTTCATTACACCAAATACACCAAATAATGTTCTTTTTAGCAGCATCATATGACCCCTTTAAGACCTCTTTTAAGTGTTAAGATGCTTTCTGAATTACTTTTTCCTTTAATTTTAAGAGGAAACATTTCTAAGAATTTTCTTAGAATTTTGTTACTAGAAACAACTCTTAGCACTAAGATTTTTCATGAATCTGAGCCCTGATCTCTATACAAGCAAGATCACATCAATATTAGCAGTTGACTGTGTATGAAATAAAAAAAGAAACATTTAATAATGATTTAACTCGTTAGAATCTTCCATTTTAATAATCACCAACAAAACCGCCAGCATTTGGTTAAGTATTTGCTATATAGGTTTCAGAGAAAACCATAAACAAATCAAACTATTCTGATTCCACATTAATACAAATTAAATTCAGATGCATCCTGCATGCATACTCACTTTTGTACATTGGCCACAGGTATAGAATTATGGAGAACAACGATGTTAAAGCCACTGGCAATATGAGACCATATCTTCCCCATCTTTTTGGTGTGCATGTGACATCTTTTACTGAACGCTTGACGGAGGGCGTTTCTGAAGCTTGGTGCTGACGCGACCGTGATAGTGACAACAGCCAATCACATTAGTCTTCTGGTGTTGCATGAACGCGATTGGCTAGTGTCTGCGCTAGGGTATTTGCATAAGGCGATCTGATTGGCTGACACCTGCGTTGGCACTTGAAAAGTTGAAAAGTTTTCAACTTCTGCCGCGAGCAATGGACCCAACGCAACGCGACAGACCCACAATTCATTTCGCCAACGCTTGACGTCACTCCATTCAAAGTAAACGAGAGGCGTTGACGCTGACGCCCGTGTGAATGGGGCGTAGGCCACAGCTGCCCCAGGGTATTAACCATTGTTTTTGCGTATTGATTACCATTTGTACAACCACAGTTTGACTCCATGGTTAAACTACAGCATGCATAGAGCCATAAGCCAAAGCAATTGCGTCGACGATCCAGTGTGACAGCCTTTGCTTGGAGCCTTTTGTACGCCCTCCAAAGCATACAAATAGCTGCTCCGAGAGCCTGAACTGTCTAGAGTGCTCGATATAAATGTGCACCGTACGTACAGGGCACAGCAAAAGTGTATTAAGCGGCTCCGGCCCGGCAAGCAGATGTTATGACCTGCGCTTTAAATGGAGTCGAAAGCACTTTAGGCACATAACCCTTCCTAGGCTTTAAGGTGAGTCTGCAATCACCTGGCCCGAACTCAATACACGATTCGTCAATTGACAGCGCCTACAGGTCCCCAACTCGCTTAACAGAGGCCAGCGCGAGCAGGAGCGCTGTCTTGAGAGAGAGCGCTCGCAAGCTCGCTGATTGTATGGGCTGGAACGGGGGTCCCATGAGGGCTTCAAGTACAAGCGCCAAGTCCCAAGTGGGTAGGGTGGAAGGGCGAGGAGGGTTCAGCCTTCTTGTTCCTTTTAAAAATTGTATGATCAGGTAATTTCTGCCGATTGGGCGATTATCGACGTGCGCGTGAAAGGCTGTTATAGCGGCCACATACACTTTCAATGTGGATAGCATACGACCACTATCAAATCGCTCTTGAAGAAAGGCAAGAATTATTGGTATTGGGCAGTTATATGGGTCTTCGTCCCACGATATGCACCAATTTGTGAAAACTGTCCATTTATGTGTGTAAAGACCCCTCGTGGAAGGAGCCCTTGCCTCAGAGATTGTGTTCAACACGCGCTGAGGAAGTGCATCTGTTACTGGCAAGCCCTGTTGAGCGGCCAGACATGAAGGCTCCATGACTCTGGATTTGGGTGCCATATCGTTCCTTGTGCTTGAGAGAGGAGGTCTCTCTTCAATGGGACAGTCCACGGGGGGGCTACCAGCATCTCCACTAGTTCTGGGAACCATGGCTGATTGGGCCATTTCGGTGCCACTAACAGAACAGATTCCCTTTCCTCTCTGATTTTGCAAAGCACGCGAGGCAGAAGTTTTACTGGAGTAAAGGCATACTTGCGTATTTTCGGCCAGCTGTGAGCTCGTACATCCACTCCCAGGGGAGACCGTGTCAGTGAATAAAACAGTGGACAGTGAGCGTTCTCCGCTGATGCGAAGAGATCCACCTCCGCCCTGCCAAATACACTCCAAATCATATTGACTGTCAAAGGGTGTAACCTCCACTCTCTGTGGATCACCCCACCCCTTGACAGTAAGTCTGCGCCGTAATTCAGGTGTCCGGGGACATGTACTGCCCGGATGGAGAGTAGGTGTTGATCTGCCCACAGAAGAAGGTCTCTCGCCAGCCGCAGCAGCGGCCACGAGCTCACACCCCCTTGGTGATTTATAAATGCTACCACTGTCATGTTGTCCGTCCTGATGAGAACGTAACGGTGGAGAATGTCCGGGAGAAAGCACTCGAGCGCTAGGTGTACAGCACGGAGCTCCAGACCGTTTATGTGCCACAACTTCTCCGTTTCTGACCACATCCCGAAGGCTGTCTGCCGTCACATACGGCTCCCCAACCTGTGGTCGATGTATCTGTCGTAACAGTCTTTCTCCTGATCACTTGGCCAATAGGAACACCCCGGAAATACAGAGTCATATCGCGCCAAGGGGTCAGTGCTTTCAAGCAGTCGCACGTTACTCGTACGCACAAGCTGCCCGCACACCATGCACTCTGTGGCACGCAACTTTTCAGCCAGAGCTGAAGCGGTCGCATATGTAGGAGTCCTAATTCGCACACTGTTGAGGCGGCAGCCATCTGGCCAAGCGTCCTCTGAAAGCATTTCAGCAGGGGAGAGTGTCCTAACTTGAAGACTGCGAGAGAGCTGATCAGTTTTTGTTTTTGATTGAATTCAGCTCCACTCCTAAAAAGGAGATGGTCTGGCTCGGTACCAGCATGCTCTTTTGCATATTCACAGTCAGTCCTAAGCTCTGAACATGAGCGAGAAGTCTGAGCTTGTCACTAAGCAGCGCGCTCTCTGATTGGGCTAAGGCTAGCTAATCGTCGAGATAGTTCAGGATGCGCGTTCCGCTCTGCTTTAGAGGTGAGAGAGCAGCGTCCATGCACTTCATAACCGTACGAGGGGGTCAAAGACAAACCGAAGGGTAGGATCGTGAATTGATACGCTATCCCCTCAAATGCAAATCTCAGGAAGTGCCTGTGGGGCTACCTGAATGTGGAAATACACATCCTTTAAATCCACGGAGATAAACCAATCTCTCAGTCTGATGTGTGAGAGGATTTGCCTTAGCGTAATCATTTTGAAAGAGCTCTTCGAAAGCGCGCGATTCAGCGGTCTCAATTCCACCGTCTTTCTTTGGCACCAGAAAATAACGACTGTAGCTACTGAGAAATGTCATGTAGCTTTTCAGCTGCAAAACTATTTTATTGATAAATTCGCGGGGCAACACTGACAACAAGTTTCTGTCCATGTCTCCTTGTGCGCGAGTGTCTGTACTGTGTGCGTCTGTGAGAACGGGAGAAAGAAAGCGTGATTTCATTTCCGTACATAAAAAAGGTGGAAAATATGGAAATAGTTTGGCCCTATTGTTTGTTATATTTATTTGCTCAATGTCTTCTTGTGTTTTGGTTCTTTTACTCGTGTAGATAGCCAGTAGTATAACAAAAAAATATTATCTCTTCATTGTGTTTGGGCCCCCCTGGACGAGCGCGCATAGGCACGTGCCTAGAATGCCTATGCGTAAATCCGGCCCTGGCTGTCACTCCTAACAGCAAGATGGAGAAGTTTCGAGTTACGTCGACAGTTTGAGGTTGAGTATTCTCATGCTATATCCAACTAGTGAATCTAACTAAAGTCCCAGTTTCTTACAGTTCATACCAGTCTTTTCATTATTTGTTTTAATCTATCGAGATAACGTGTTTACTTGTATTGTATTCGTTTTGACTGATGTGCTTGTTTATGCAATGTATAAAATTTTTGGACTACGAATGTTAACTGAATAATTTCTCAGGCAAGATATTAGCTTAAAGGGGTCATATGATGTTGCTAAAAAGAACTTGAGACTTTAGTCTTTGCAACTTTACAGATCTTCTTTATGCACCAAGAGCTTGTAACACCCCAAAGAGAAAGGAAAAATTGAAATCGCATCATATGACCCCTTTAAAGTCTGAATTAAATGCTCGTTTTCTACAAACATTTTTGAGGTTTCTGTACAAAGACAGGCATAGTGAAACTATTCCGTAAAAAGGTTCGTAGAGCTTAAGATTTTAAATTTGGTTATAGTACTCCTTACAGTATATGGGTATGTAAATAGAATATTTAAATATTAAACAATATTTAATATTCAACACATTTCTAATTAAATTTCTACTTAAATATTTAACAAATATTTAAATAGAATATTAATACATGACTTTTGTTATAGTTAATTCATTTTAACACTGTTAAATGACTCCCTCCCTGTATTACTCTCCCACAGCAGTTGTTCCTGTGATGCAGGGACAGCACTGTGTGACCACAATAATGCTGCACTACTGTGCCAGACAGCACAACACTCGCAGCTTAGCATCAGTGAAGTTCCTCCTGTTCATAGCTTTCTTGAAAGAGAACAGAGCTGGCACAAACCTAGAACAATGATAAGTTTAAGTACATTATCAAAATCTTTTAAAATAAACGTGATTGATTAATGGATAATGTAATATAATATATAAATACATGCATACATGCTTTTAGTTCAATTTTTTTTTATTGGCTTAGTCAGGAAGATTATAGATGAGACAACAGAACACAACCTCTGCTCTGTGTGATACATGGGATTTCTGGATGAATGGTGATAATACAGAATTAGTCAATACTACTTACTGTGGACAATAGTCATTATTTACAAAAAAAAATTGACTAAGTTCCCAGAAAAAATAATACTCAAGTAAAGTACAGATACTCAAAAAGTGTACTTAAGTACAATACTCAAGTAAATGTACTTGGTTACTGTCCGCCTTCTGACAACATGAGGGTGAGTAATTAATGACAGAATTTTCATTTTTGAGTGAACTATCCCTTTAAGCCACATTTCTGTAAAATATAGCAAACAAATGTCTCTATACTCAGTGAAATACCTTACAGCCGACTGAAACTCGGATAGTTGCTTGGAGAGAGACTGTGTCTTGGCAGGGATCAGTCAGTAGTGGCAGTTGGTTACCTCGGGCCCGGACCTTCTGCCGCACCCCGGCACGCTGACCTCTCCTCCATCTCCTTAATGTTGTATTCCCCTTCCTACACTCTCTTGGCAATTCCAGTGAAATTCAATCACCATATTGTTCCTGGCTGTAGCGATCCGGTGTGCTCTCCTGTTGTTATGATCTGTGTTGTGGCTGGTAGCAACAATAAGCAACAAACCATGCAGCAATATTAAAATGTCTGCTCCTGTTAACATTGATTGCTGGTTGTCGATGTAGGCCAGCCCAGATGTATCCAATCCTCCAAGGCCAACATCCTACAGTTTTCTTCTCCATCACAGTGAGCTGGACAGACCAGAGGTGGAAAAGGATAGCAGGAGAAGTAATAGGCAGTTTCATGTATCATTTGTTGGATCCTCATGGTTTTCCTCCCTGTAAACAAATAATAAACAATTGATTTTTAGCACATTGCCACACACAACTAGGAAAATAATACTAAAGGAAGTTGGTCACTCTTACGGTGGTTGGCCTGATGTTTTAGGTGTTTCCTCAATGGGAGACTGAGAAATAAAACAACTAATTCCAGTTAAATCCTGAAAATGTGTGAAGACTGTTCTTGCATGTACATCAAAACAGACAAAAATTATTTAGAAAACTGAACAAAAGCCTATTAGTACTAATAAACAGATTACAATTACACTAGTTTGCCACACACAAAAAAACAGCAGCACAATATGACATTGTGGCATAAGGCCTCATAATAAATGATAAATTAATAAATTAATAAATGGCATCATATAAATCGAGGCAGAGTTTGAAAACTTACCTTATATCTTTTATCACCTGAAAAACATTACAAAAGAAATTACATTTATAGTTTAATGTAAAAAACAAACATAGGAACTGTAGTGCAATAAGCATAAAAACACATAGCAATATAAATAAAAAATTGTTTTTTTGCTTTTCCATAAAATTGCTAAAAGTGAGTTCAATTTAATTAAAAAAAATTCTGTATCCACTCACCATTATTGACTGTCTGAGCTTCTGAGTGTGCCCTTCTGTATAATGCTGCTATAACAGCTGCACATATGACAGGGGGACATAAAGCTACAAGACAGTATCTTTTCCTTTTCTGTACACATCTGACATCTTTTACAGGACTCCCGTCTTCAGCTTTAATGCCATTTCTGGCTGCACAGCTTAGAAAAAATGGCAATACTGAATAAACAACAAAAATGCAAACAAGACATGGCACAAAAAAACTTTACGTACTCTGTCCATTTGGTGCAGTTCAGCCCAGATGGAGAATAAAACCCAGGAGCACAGTGCACACATTCTGTATCTGATGTCTTTGTTCCTTCAAGCAGACACAGAGAGTAAACATTTTCTAAAAGAACCTTAAACTGTAGGAAGATTCATAGACTTCAAATTATGTGGGGGAAAAATATACATTGCTTTTGAGCATTCAGAAACAGTACCTGGTGTTTTTGTTTCTTGTCCTGGTTTACAAACACTGTGTTTTTCAGCATGACGGCACTGTGAATCGGAGTAATCAATGCAGTAATATCCATCAAGTACATCACAGATGGTGTTTTGTATTGTAGTGCATTTACTCTGGCTGTAAAGGCCTTGACCTAAGAGCACATATAGCAACACGTTTACATAGACAATAACGTAAAATTACAAATTTTGAAGATTAAAACAAAAAAAACGAAAAAAAATAAATAAACATACTTTCAGCACAGTGTTTGCATGGGAAGCATTTATCAAGACCATTGGGTTGACTCGTGAATGTTCCTGGAGTGCAAGGTATACATGTGGTACTGAAATCACCAGTGCAGTGACGGTACACCACTGACCCTGCAAAAAAATAAATATTAACACACAACACTAAGGTGACCAAACAATTCAATGATCTCCTGGACTAAAAGTTTTTGAGTCCATCTCCCTGGACCAATAGAAGGCTATACCATAGTGCCCCTCCTTGTCACAAACATCAAGTGATGACGTTTTACCTGAGAGATATAAATTCTCTAGAGATGTACAGAGGGTGTAGTGGGAGGTACAGGCTACCGAAGAGGAGACGAGGGGGTATGAGGTAACATTATCTGGAAAGAGTGCAGATCTGCACCCAAAGGTAATTACACACAAATGGCGTCTATGAATTTTGTATTATTTTGGTTATGATTGCACCTTGTATTTAAAGAGTTTAGTATGTATGCCATTTTTTAGGTGATTTAGTGGTATTTTGTATATTGCACACAATACGCAGCATTGTTTCTACTTTACATTACTGGTTAGTTAACCTACCCACATTACACATTGGACAACATTCTCCATCAGCAGATTTATATTCACTTGGACCGCATGTATTTCCATATGTAAGAAAAGAACAAATACCTGCGAAGATAAAATAAGTTACACAACGTTGTACCAGAGAGAGCGCTACTCTGGGCATTCGCAATGTTTTGTAATTATTGTTGTTAAATGTTTCAAATATGACCAGGTGATCGTCTCGATCAGAACACAATCGTGTACTGACCATCACCTTACCAAATATGCACAAAAGACTCGCTTTCATGTTCAGTCTTTCCACCATTTTGTTGCTAGTTTCTTATGACGACGTGTTATGCTCTCGCTTGGCTGGTAGACTGAAGGCGCTTCTTCAATATCCCGAAAACATTAATGTATGTAGTCTTAGCATCAAATACCGTATTTGTAAATTTGACGTATTCAATAAATGCAATACATCATACATTCAAACATTTCGAGGTAAAGCGAAAATAAAAGTGTACAGGGTGGGGTTCTTCTTCTTCTAATAACGTTTTATGGCGGATGGCAAAATTTTACCTTGTTCTGCATGCTCTTTCAAAAGGCTTGACAAATTAAATGATTCAACACCCATGTTTGGGGTTCTTCTTCTTCTTCTTTTGGAGTTTTATGGCGGTTGGCAAACAAACGATAGCCACCTACTGGGCTGGAGTGTGGACCATTGATG